ATCCAGCTGTTAAAGATTATAAAGCTTCGACATATTTTATAAGGGCAGTTGGGTATAAAATACATATAAAGACCATACAGAGCAACCTTGTTAACATCCAGCAAGGAGGGTTTTATTTGAAACTGCTTTCCCATCAATTCCTTGAATAGGCTGATCAATAAACAGATTTCACTCTTGCGTTATAAGTAGAAAGGTGACTGACTGCAGGTATTGGCAGCTGTACAACCCTGGGGCAAGTGACCTCTTGTTCTGTAACCTCTCAGCAGGTAGAGTAGGCTCATCACTTCTTAGTAACAACTGCTATCTTATTTTAAAGGGAAACCAAAGTTTTTTTGTTTTTTTATACATACACGTGAACGAGAATTTTTTTTTACCAATGTGTGTATAAATGTTGAAAACCCTGTTTATATTTTGTACATGGGGGCAGGTATACCGGATGTGTTCATTACATTTGCAGGTTCTGCTTCCTGCTTAATAGAGCTGCGCAATGTTGAGCCTTGCTGGTGTCCCTTTGATCGTACACAGGGTTGGAATATTCCTTATATTACATTATCATTTATATTTTGTATACATTACATCTGTATTATATACCGTTCCAAAGAGCCGCTATAAAAGTATTGCTTAGTAGTCCACAGGTAAATAAACTTGGGACAGGGACGTCAACTGAAGTGCATTTAATTGGAGTGCCAAAAATCACTACACGGCTTTACAACACAGAGTACATCCGTACTGTAAATGTAACATTTCAATTGAATAATGAACTGTCATAAATAGATTTTTTGTTGCTTTTTATTTATTTTATGTTTTTTTTTTAATGTAATTACTCAGCCCATATATTGCGCTCCCTACAAACAGTAGATAGGTTGTGTAAAGCACATTTCATGCTTTAAGGACTATCTCTGGGGAAACAAAAAACCTCCCTTTGCAGTGGGAGTACCCCCTGCCCTGCAAGGGTTTACTGTTCGTTAATGTCTTGGGCAGTGGTTCTCAACCTGTGTAACCTCAGGACCCACATTTGTCCTTGGTCATTAAGTCGCGACCCAAGTCGCACTGCAATTGAATGCACTGAATTAGGGTACCTCGCATTGCAGTGCACGCGTACGAGCTGTGTGTGGGAAATGTGTTTGGGGTACCATTCAAATGAATGGTAATCCAACACACCTCCCACACCAGAATGCACGGTAGCTGCGATTGCATGGTACAGTGCGTTAATCGCGACATTCTCACACACACATACACACTCCAAAAAATATTACATTTTTTAAATTTTTTTATTTTTATATAAGGTCCACCCAGTCTCCCTACCTTACGAGAACTGCAGTGGATCCTCAGCCTGGGGTCCAGCATGAGCTGCTGAACTGTGACGGAGCTCCAGCCATATGTGCATTGCTTGTACAGCTCCCTTGCGCACCCTGTAGAAGTGCTGAGTGCCAGAATGGGATGTTACTCTGGTCCAGGCACCTCTTTAGGACACGTGAGAGAGCTGTAAGCAATGCACGTATGTATGGAGCGCCCTTGCAGCCATACCCCCACCCCTCCCCACCTCAAGCTGACACTCAGCACCGGGCAGCATATTTTGAACAGCTGCTTAGTGCAAGAACTGACAGTGCTGCGCTAGGGTGAGACAGAGAAGTCTCTCACCTAGAAATATGTCCCTTGTGGTGCCATTATTTGATAATGCCACCCTAAACATGGCAAGCAAGGCGCATGTGCAAAAATGCACAGTCAAAAAATGTGCAAAGCTTGAAGCTCAGACTGCTGCATGAGCTTCTTTGCCTCCTTTCTAGTGAGGTAAGGACATTCAGTAACATGGACGGGAGGAAGAATGAATAGACTATACGTGCAGTGACCTCACCACACTTGTATTCTGTTAAGAATTTCAAGTCCCTCTGCCTTGTAGTTTCTCCATTCACAGATCCTCAACGGATCTGTGAATTTATGATGTGGCTGTGTGGGCAGACAGGAGAAGAACCCCGCAATTTAGGTAAGTAGAGGGATGTGACCATGTTTCATGTTGCACCCTGAATATGGTCAGAAGAT